ATCATGTGTCTGTTGTCTTCTACAATATTTAGCCAAAAGATTACTTTGATAAAGCTTCACCTTCGACAAAAGTTATCTCCCCAGAGCACAGACAAATATTTGATTTATCTGTTAGCGTGCATCTTCGCCAATGTCATGTAGACAACCTCCCAGCAATTTAGCCCCAAAACAGCACGAAAGCCCCAATTAATTGCCAAAATTTTAATGGCTAAATATAATTGCCATAAATAACAGCAAGCCTTTGCTTTTTTTTTTTGGCCCCCTCGGTGCTGTTGATTTTGGTCGATTATTAGCTCAAAATACACACGAGGCCATAAATAACAGTGAGGTTTTGGCTCGGGAAAAAAATTACGCATACGTTGCGTGGTACGAGGGAAATTTGACATTGAACTTGCGGCTTTGTTATCCGAATCGATAGCCCTGAAGGCCAGCTGGAATGACATGCAAACGGGGTGGTGGGGCTTAGGGAGGGTGCTTGGTGGCATTAAATATTCGTTTGGCAGGCGGCTGCCATGACAACAATAAAAATGTGCCCAACAGAGAGTTAGATGTGGAGCAAAAGGAAAGCAAACATATGTCTGATATTGCGACTAGAATATATCTTCTGAATGGACAAGTGACGAGGAAGAGACCCTGTGACAGAGAGCCATAAACTCTGCCTTGTGCCTGTTGCCAGACGAATGTCATATGCCCCGCTTAACCACAATTAAGGGGTAGAAAAAGCAAAGCAAAAGCTAGCTGGCACAAAGAGGGACAACATTTTTAATTGTTTGACCAAAACGTTCGATATAGACAAAGGTTCTCTTGCCTCGGCCCCTAGACTCCCAGAGTGCCAGAGTGGGTGGGGTGGGCTGGGCTGTGCTGTGCTGGGTGTTGGGGAGGCGCTCGTAATGAAGCCACATAAATCTCGGCACTAAATATATATTTCGCCAAAGATTGGGGAGCTGGGGACTAGCAGGCAAAGTGAGGCAATTAATCTTACCCTCAAGATATATATATATACAGACTCATATATATAAAGTTTTTGTTGTTGTTGTTGTTTTGCTGGCTGCCGGACCCGGGGGGACACGTAAAAAAGTACTCAAGGGAACGTTGCCCCGCTCCCCGTGGTCGAGTGACAGCAGTGGTGGGCGGGGGATGGGGGGCCATCTAGGTTCCGGCAAAAGTAATAGCACAATAAATGTGCATCAGGCAGCCCAGGAGGAATCACCGCAGTTAAGTGTGTCCCTGTGTCCCCTGTCCCCTGTCCCCTGCCCTGTGCGTGTAAATTATAGATAACCGTGTTAATGTTGCAGCATCCCTCCGCCGACCCACTCCATCTTGCTGCCGCATAACTTTTGCGGCCTGCCCCAAACAAACAAAGTTTGTTTCCTTCTGCGCTGCAAAAGTTTTTTTTTTCTTCTTTTTTTTGTTGGCTCTGGCCAGAAGTTTGGGCCGGGCCTAAAAGTGTGCCAAAAGAAGCGCCACGGATGCGAGATACATTTCCAGGGCAACTTCCTGCCGTGTCCAACCAGGGGCGTGTCCCCTTGTTGAAATGCCGAGCACTTTTCCCATGGCTTCCGCCTCCGGCCCCTAACATATTTGTTGATTATTATTTATTGTGGGCCACGTCTCTTCGATGGGGAGCGAATTTAAAGACACGTTCAAGTGTTTAGCACTTTCCATTTTAACGCTGAAACTTTACAGGTTTTCTCCTGCTCGGTGGTGGCATCTAGGGGCGGGGCGGGGCGGTGCTCGTGCAAAAAATTAGCAATTTAAATAATTTAATTACGCCGTGACCTGCAATTTTGCGGCGTTAATTAAAACGTGCCCCCGCCTGTCCACGTGCCATGGCTTTGGCTCTGCCAAAAAACTTTTTGCTCTAGCTAAATTATAACGCTCCTGATTCATTAGTTATGCCCTTTGGATCCGGAGTCTCCGAGTCTCCGTTTGCCCGTAAATTGGATGTACAGTTGCGGCAGAAATAATAGCACTGTTCGGTACCACAGTCTTTATTGTTTCAAAGCCTGATCTCTAACCAACATATTTTGCCCTTGACTATAATATCAATTAGGTTTACATGTCTCCTCTCTGATAGAAGTGTGCTTACTTTCAAATTCCTATCGGTTCTTATTACTAAAGGCAATTTTCCAAAAAAGAAGCGAAATAGGACGGCAACAAAAATAGCACTAAAATTGGTTTTTTATAAAAACTTTTACTTTTCCGAGCTTTTTGATATTTTATGATCTTAATTAAATTACAATTCGGTGTCTTAAGTAGATTGTGGCAAGAACTTAACAAAATAAAAGTAGTTTTGGGCCTCAGAAAGCACTTTAGGTAAGAAAAAAGCAAGAGGATCAAAACTTTTATTCCAGAAGGAGACACCTATCTTTAGGTGAATCCAATTGTTGGTTGATCATTGAGCATTGATTCGCAATGCTTTAAAACATGCAACCAACAAAAAACACACGGAATAAAAGCCGCGATACCGCCATTTCCGGTCAAACTACTGCTTGATGAGAGCAAGAAGGACCCTTATAAATCGTCCACTGAGCTAAAAAAGGATCTTAAAAAATCGCCAAGGATAAGCAAAGTTAGTTCTTGCATACAAGAACATAAATTAAGTGCCAAAAGTCCGAGGAAAAATCCACTTTAGAAAGAAAGCCATGGGTCAAAGTGAGTGCAGTATGCAAATAGCACTGGAGTTGTCCCAAAGAAACATCATGTCGTCCGAAGAAAGTCAAATTGTTTTTTTTTCTGTGGAAAAGGTTATCAATCTTATGTATGACGACACCTAATGCAGAATAAAAACCCCTGGCTAATATATAAAATCATTAAACACTCAGGGATAAGTATCATTGCATGGGCATGCTTTTCGTATTATTGAGGTGGTCCAATACATGGCACAAATAGATGATGGCTCAACATGTCTATATTAAAATATTAGAAAACAATGATGCTGCCTTATATGGAATAGGAAATGCCGTTGTTTTGTGGTTTCCATCAGGACAATGATCCAAAACAGACCAGCAAGGAAGCTCGAAGGTGGTTTGAGATCAGTGTATTTAATGTAATGCGTTGGCCTGCTAAGTCGCCAGATATGAACACCATGAAAAATCTTTGCGCTAAAGCTAAAAAATATGTTTCTAATACGAAATCAAGGAACAATATTGATCTTTGGGGTATCAGGCATTATTGGTGGAGCCATATCTCCCAGGAAAGATGCGAAAATGAGGTGAACTTTCATAACTAGACGCTGAGACACTGTGGTTGCTTCCAAAGGCTTTACAACAAAATATTAACCTTTGAATACAACTAAAGTAACCTACTTTAATGAAAAATTTGGAAAGCTTCTTTAAAAGTTGTATTTTTTAAAATTTTTGGAAATCAGTGCTATTTTTGTTGCCGCCTCAATTCCTGAATAATTCCTTTTCTTTTTGATAATTTTCGTTTGAAGTCTGCAATACAAACTATTGCTTTCGGAAACATTAGATTACATCCTAAAGTATATATAATAGTTCTTAAACCGTTCATTAATACCACTGTTTAAACAAAATCCTTCAATACAGAAAATTGAGTGTCATGGTGCTATTATTTATGCCACAGCTGTACATAAGTACACGTAGTAGTTTACGCTTAACTTTTTTGCTTATTTTTTGCCAGCTTTTCAGGTACGTCGAGTATTTGCATGGGACGTGAGTTCTTTGATATGGAGATTCTCGTTTGGGCGGGGCAGGGCAGTGGGGTTGGAATGTGTGTGGTGGAGCGCATCCAAATTGGTTTTGGTTATGCGAGACTATTTCTGTTTATATTTGGTTACAATTTAAATGGATTTTACAAGGTGCAAAATTGGTTCAAAATAAATATGGGTTAGCCGGGAAAAAATTGGTTGTAACACGCATCAAGTTTTTTATGCAAAAATCCAATATGAAAGTGTGAAAAGAAATATAGTTTTAATTTGATTTTACTACGTACCCAAATATATGTAACGAAATTTAACCTCTGCAGACTTTTGCTTATTTTTGAATATTTTTAATGGCTGAAATCTTTGAGCAGCAGAGGATTTTCAGCAGCTCAAAATGAGTCCCATCCATCTGACGCTCACTAAAATTCCTAAAATTATGGAACACACATTTCTAATTAGACAAATCCTTAAACTGCCAAGCTATAATTAACACTCCAGGAATTATTCCACTTCTCAATGGAATATTCTCACATTTGACTCTTCTCACTCAAGCTCTCTCCGGTTCTCTCCTCCGAAGACACACAAATTGATTGATTGAATGAACAATTACTCAAAATGTCAAATGTTTATTTAATCATCTTTGCAATTGGTTAAGTAAATGAATTTTGGCAAATTGCTCACTGGCGTTCATTGAGTTGAGTAAAATGTGAAACATTTGTGTCCGATGCTGAGAGTTTCTGGAGCGGAAATTGATTGTGTTTAATTTCCAGCACAGTGACCGCAATGGAAATGGTTTATACATATATTTTTATTGTTTTGGCCACTGCAACAAAGTAAATAACAAATTAGTGTGCAAAAATACGAGGGGAAATGTGGCAAGCAAATGGAATTTGGACGAGGAGTTACCCGGTAATGTGATCGTACATAAAAAAAGCTCCTAAAAATGTTGAAAAATTGTTTTGGAATATATTTTTGATGCTAATAATTATTTGGGTAGAAATATGGCTTTGCCGTGCACACAACATACCCCTAGTCCCCTACAAAGTACAGGGTATAATAAAACCAAAGCGCGTGCTGGAAATTTGTTTCTATTTTTTGGTTGGCAACTTTTGGCACTGTGGATGCCCCAAAAGAGGTGCCACAAAATAAAAGAAAAAAAATACTACAATAGAGAAAGAGAATTGCACTAGTGGCGGAGGGCGGGGAAGGGAATGCAACTCAGTTTCCACTTCCACTTTAACCGAAACGGAAACCGAAACCGAAAACCGCTGCTAAAAAGCTCTCTTGCCACAGAAATCTAATTTGGCACTCTGTCGCTCACCCCTCTGTTTGCTCCTCTCTCTTTTTTACAGATGCCTCAATGTCGTGCCCCAGAGACACGTCGCCGCTTGGGCTCTGTGAGCGACTCGGCCCCACCATCAGAGTCCAGCGATGGCACCGGCTTCTCATCGGCCTCGTCGGAGCAGCGGGAGGAGCTGATACTGCATGCGGACTGGTCGGGCGCCCATTCACACTCGTCGGCACAGCGGAGCAGTGCCCATGGCACCACATCGCTGTATAATGCATCGGACATCGATGCGGACACCATCAGCACGGACACCACAAGCAACACGAACCTCTCCGACTACGAGCGCGGCCAGGTGGAGAGCTTCTTCGGGGGCCTGGGCACCGACATCTTTGTGAGCGGCGCCCTGGCCAATCTGTACGAGGGCACTGGCAACGATGGCGACTGGCGTCTGGTGTTCACCGGCATACCCGTCATCCTCCACGACAAGGGCAACTCGCGGGCCAGATCCATGCCGCGTGTGACCCTGGTGCTGGCCGAGCGGGGCTCCTGCTTTGCGCTCTGGTCGGATCGCATTGACAACTTGTCCAACTATCGCATAGCGGGTCCGTCCTTCCACACCATGTGCCTGTCGAGCAATCACCAGCAGATGATCGGCTTCAGCTTCGACTCGACAGACGCGGCCCGCGAGCTCTGGCAGCATGTGGAGCGACTGGTCAGCGATCCGGAGAACATTGCCCTGACGGTGCCCGGCACGCGCAAGCAGAAGAAGCAGAAGCGGGCGAAGGCCGCCCCGCTGCCGCCCAAGTCACAGATATCGCATCCGTGCCAGTTCCACCATGTGACCAGTGTGGTGAAGGAGGACAGCGAGCGGTACTACAGCATGCAGGCCTTTGGGCCGCACAATCCACAGCAGCATCGTTGAGTAGGGTCGGGCGCGTGGATCTGGAACACGAGCGCCCTTTGGTGGCAGAACTAAGCTGCCGCTGCCAACCCCCAACCCCCCACGACTCCAGCGATCATCCCTTTAGTTGATAGATTTAGATTTAGATTTATATGATATATATATATATATATGTATATATATATATATATCTTTGTTATGGCCACGTTTCGGGCCTAAGTTATGCCAATGTGTGCTCTGAGCGTAGAGTTCTCGGATGGCACATTCATCTGTGATACGATTTAGGCGTCTGCAAAACAAAACCTAGAATTATTAATTAGCATTTTGGAAAAGGAAACTGAAAAAAAAAACAAAAAAAAATAAAAATAAAAATTCAAAGCAGCAAATCGAAAGAGAAGTTTTCAAAGTTCTAGTATGTATAACCCAATTCCAAAAAAAAACATATTCGATATAACGATTCAAGCGATTAGCGACTAAAACGATTGTCAATAAGCGGAGCGAAGTTTTTGTAAACCTTTTCTAATATCACACAATATACACACAAAAAAACCATAACCATAACCATAATTATTATTATACACATAGCATATAGTATATAGCATATATATAGTCCCCGATATCTGCATGTCCATTTTGCAATTGCTGCAAAAATGTTTTTGATACCATAACAAAAATGCTTGTTTTTTAATCGGATTAAACACGCGACACAAATATTAATGTTTTTTAAAATCTATGTATTATATTATGAATATATATATATGTATGTGTACGCTATATATTAAACCTATCTATATATTATATATGTAGCTCTAAGCATTACATCATACATACATAACTATGAAATGATTTATGTAACTTGAACTTCATATTTTGCATAAGCAAAAACCCATTGCGAGAAATCAAATAAAGCTGAGACAAAAAACCAACAAGAAAGGGAGTTATTTAAGGGATTTATTTAAGGAATTCAGGATTTTTTATTTAGGGATAAAACTGCTGAAATATACATATATTTGATATGTACTATGAATGATAGTTTTTGAACACCAAGCATTTACATATTGATTGAATAATATGCACGATAACAGAAGACCGTCATAAGGTTATTAATGAACAAATATTTTAATAAATATAATAATAAAGGAAAATAAAATAAAATAGCAAGGAAAAGAATCATCAAACAACCCTTAATTTATGATAATAAAAGAAATGCGTAAAAGAGTTAATTAAAGTAAAATAATTTGGAACACAATTCAATGTGGAAAAATAAAGCCTTAGCAGAGCACATTCAATGCATTATGAATTATTAAGTGCATACAATTTTAATAGTTACCAATTCCATTTCCATTTTATTTAATAGCGAACATCAAAAGGTAGCCCAAAAATCATTCGAACAATTAAAGACAATCCATTAAATGCCAACAAATAAGTTCAATTAGCAAAGGCAGCCAATAATCTGGACTCTTTTGTCATTTGCCCACAAATAAATGTCAGGCATACGCATACGAATAGTCGTATCGGACTTCAATCATTTAACCCCCATGTCTCAATTATTTGCCACTGAATGACTGCACTACCAATTACAATAACAATTAAAACCATTACGAGTGCCCATGCCCGTGCCCGCATAATTATGCATCCGAAAGTGGGGATGGCATGGGATTCCATTGGGATGCCGAATGTTGAATGTGGGATGTGGGATGTGTGGATTCTGTCAGAGCTGAAGCGAAACGGTAGGTAGGGTAGCCTGATTCTGATTGACCACTGCCATGCAATGACAGTAGGCTCTCTGGCTGCTGTTGGAGTTGCATAACCAAGTGGCCGAGTGGCACTGCCACACGATGCACATTTATGCTAATTAAGACACATCGAGTGGCAGTCAAGAGTGGCCGCTCTCCGGACTCCGCACAGCCATGGACAATCTCTTACTGTCTTTCTGCGGCTCTGGCTGTGGCTGTGGCTTGCATTTTATGGTCGTTTTATTGTTTTATGTCTGTTTGCGTATATTACCATTATAAATGCCATTATGCAGCACATTTATTATTTCATGTTGGACAATTAAAATCTACACTCTCTGTGTTTGCATTCGCGTTGAATAATGTGCAGTTAAGTTTACTTGGCCAACGCCTGAAGTTGGGAGCATCCATGCAATCACCCAACCCCTGATGCAATGGCAACACAATAGTTGAGGGCGTTTGCAGGTGACTTCCACGATTCCCACAGCTGAAAGTCTAATTAATGGGCGGCCTTGATTGAGCCCAAAACAATGGCAGGGCAACATTGCCTGCCACACCATGGAGAAATGGGTTACAGCAGAGATCACACATCGCAGGTAATTATGGATGGCATGGCTCTCTCTTTATGGGTCAGCTATTTATCTCAACTAAAAATTGTTTGCTTCAAAAGTGTATTTCTATATTCTATAAACATTTTAATTTGAAAAAAAAATAAAATAAAAAAATTAAAATCCATTGTTTACAAAGCAAAAACTCTCTGGATTTGAAGTCAGAAATTACTGCCAAAATAGAACTAAAATGTCTAAAAAAAACAGTGGAATATGAAGGATATGGCTACTGTTCGTAGAGAGTTATATGTATGTACATATATACACCCAGATATACACTGCTATCGCAGCTCCCAAAAGCCCATAAAACCTCCACTTACCCATAGTAGTTTCGACTTATCCCCAATTGGCATTCAAATTTAAACGCTCTCTCCCCTCCTTTTGTATTTGTGCAATTTTTCGAGCTAATCCAATTCATTTTCCCTTACCCTTACCCACCAGCAAAACACATCATCATCCACGTAGTCCATTCCAATACCGAAACCGAAAATGTTTTTAATCAAAAACTTGCTAAGCCCGAAAAATGCGATTTGGTATGTATGTATGTATCTGTGTGTGTGTGTGTGTATTAGCCATTTCCCTGCATGTGGCTGAATTTTTGATGCCATTGTCTGGGTCCAGGGGGCTAATGGTAAAGCAATCCAAATCCCCCTGTATGATTTTGATGCAGCTGCCTGGGATCAAAACTCCGAGAACCCAGGCAAAACATGCAAATTCACGGACAAAGCCAGCCCCCGCACCCTCCCGTCTACCATCAGCCATCTCTCAGCTTTCAACTCAACTCTCAACTCTTGCTGAAAAATAGAGAAAAAATTCCCAAAATTGCATTTGCTTTCGGTTTCAACACAAAGATTACCCGGCACCCACGCACACACACCCACAAACACACACAAACATGTGCATTCCTACACTGAAATAAAATGATTAAATATGGGAATTTAATTTCAAGCCTTCTGATTGTAGGAGTTTGGATGCAGTTGATAGAGGAGTAACGATGAGAACGAAGAACAAGTCTGGCTGCAATATATTTTCGTTTTGATAGCTGGCTGTGCACGTTAGAGATAACGATCTAGCTTACATGTCGCGAGAGCGAGCGCCAACCGCTCTCAGAGCGTGCTAACAGTGAGCTGTAACTAGGTGCAGTTTGCAGACTGTTAATGGAGGTCGCTAACAGTCTGTTGAAATGTTAAAGCTGCTGGGCTCTGAACAGCTTCGATTTGCGTCTTGCACTACTGTCGTAGACATATATATGTATGTAAGTATATGGATATATGTACATATGTAGCTATACTGAGTACCTGGTATCGTTATGCGTTATGGCAGGATTACAGCTTCGGAATTGCTCCAGCTACAGTAGCATTAAATAAGTATCCATTTCTGTCAGTGCATCGCTTGTAGGGTGTGTGTTCCGGTGTGCTCTGGTATATGTGGATGTGGGTGCCTGGGTGAGCCGCAAACATTTTGATTATTTTAGTTGACTGGTGCAAAAGTGCGGCTTAATTGTTACCAACAAACAATAAGCGGAAGCATGTGGCTTAGCTAAATCTCGACGAAACTCTGCAGCAAACGGAAAAGGGAGGGAGAGTCACAGCCAGATACAGATAGAGACACACACCGATATGCGAATAGTAGAGGCAGAAATGTCAATCCAAAACCCACAATCAACAGCATTAAAATCATCTCAGCGATGCCAGTCAGGCACTCACCAGATGAGGATGATGACGATGACGATGATGATGATGATGATGTTGCTACTGAAATCTTTTGTGCTGAAGGAAACCATGCCTTGGCCGAAGAAGGTAAGGCGCTGCCCGGAGGACTCTGTGCCAGCCATTCCATTCTTTATGGCAGCTTTTCAACGCGTGTTCTGTATTTGTAAACAATTTGGATGCGACCCAACACTAAAGCTAAAGGCACTTGTGACCTTCCTGCCTGCCATCCGACTTGCTACCTTTCCTTTCCATTCCTTTCTCTTACCTCAATTCACTCTCTCTCTCTCTCCGCTTGGGCATATATTTGTTTTGGCCTCTGCACACGCGTGTGATATCAAGCTGAGATTTTTCTTGTCCACATTAACATTTTTCTATGGCATTTCCATATATTGTGTCCTAGTTTTTGGTAGCAAGAAAACTATGCCTTGGGTGGGCAGGGTGCTGCTATGATTTTGACCCACAAAGATACTGTACATATACTCTTGCTTAGACTTGTGCAAAAACTTGCAACTAAACCTTACTTGACACTCAGATAAATGATGGCACTTTCTGTTGATTTATTTTGTGTATTTCTCTGCCCCTTTATGAATTGAAATAAAATAATATTTATTATGTTTTTACCTGCTCTATCAATCCGTCTTACACTTCTCCTTCTTTGCAGCACTCTTTTTCAGTTTATCCAACACTTTGACACCCTGCTCCTCGTACTGCCCTTTGGACAGCCAAAAGTCATCCCGATCCTTGGTCACATCGGCCAGAATAGAGCCGCCCGTGAAGACCATGTACTTGCGTGTTGTTGTGTCCAGAATTCGTATCTTAAATTTGGGCATACTCGCCACATCGCTTTGCAGCACTCGCTCCAGAAACAGCTGCCGCAGATCGCTCTCCAGTCGACTGGGGAAGCCCGGCAGCATGGTGGATCCCCCCGCCAGCACTATGTGCCGGAACAGCATGGGCCGTATGTCGATGTCCGCTGCTTGGATCACATTGAAGGCCATTTCAGCCAGGCCGGGACCCTCGATATTGATCAAATGGGGCTGGAAGTAAGCTTCGGGCGCCTGGAAGCGCTCGCCGCCCACCTGGATCACACGACCATCGGGCAGCTGGTAGGACTCCACCAGCACTGTCGTCTCCACGGCCAGCCGCTGCTCCTGCTCGATGTCGCAGCCAATGTAGCACAGTTTCTCCTTCATAAGGCGCACAGTCTCAAAGTCCGGAGAGCCGTTGAACACGTAGCCCCGTTGCAGCAGCAGCTTGATCAGATGCTGCGTGACATTGCGGCCGGAAACGTCCAGGCGCTTGGTCAAATGTGGCAGGGCAGCCTCCTCGTAGACGGAGCAAATGTGCGCCATGCCATCCCCGGCATCGATCACCACGCCCGTCATCAGACCCTGGGCGTACAGCGTGAGCACCGCCTGTGCGGCCATGTACGTCGCCTCAAAGCCGTACCGCTCGAACATCACCTCGAGCATCATCTCCCGATCCCGGTCCGGCAGCATGGGCGACTCGGACAGCAGTATCTTCGCGATTGTCGGCTCAATGGCCAACTTCTTTGGCCCGAATGTGTAGTCCCACACATGGCACATGTCCTCCCAGTGGCGGATCACACCGTTCTCCATGGGATGGGACACCTCCAGCAATGATCGCAGCTGCAGTGCCTCATCGCCGACCATCACATCGTCCAGCTGCAGGCCAGCCACATCGATTGCCGTGTTCATTGCCCGGATTATGGGACGCCCCACCATCGAGGGAAAGATGTGGGCGGGATAATTGGTGCCGGCCAGACCGCACTTTACGGATCCAGTGCCATTATCACAGACTACAATATGGCGACCCTTGCTGTCCATTTTGCAGTTTTAGCTGCAATTAAAGTGAACATTTTATTGGCATCTAAAATAAATCTGACAGAAACTTACAGTGTTTTTGGGAGTGATTAGTATTAGTATTAGTAATAGTATTAATTTAGCTACGACTAATTATTCAACGACTAATGTGATTCGCTTTTAAAGGGCTAAGTATAAATGTCTAAAAGTATTTATTATTATTTATTATTATTATTATTTATTATTATTATTTATTATTATTATTTATTATTATTATTTGTTATTATTTACTATTTATTTCTATTTTATTAAAATAGTTTTAATATTATTATTATTTATTATAATTTAATATTTATTTATGATTATTATTTATTATTATTTATTTATTATTATTATTTATTACTATTATTATTTATATTTATTATTAAGTTCAAGTTAATATTTATTTATTATTATTATTTGTTATTATTTACTATTTATTATTATTATTTATTTTTACTTAATTTAATTTGTAGGGTAAATATTATGAAAAAAAGCTATCAGTATTTTAGGACTCTAATTTGAACTCTGTGACACCCAAGTAAGAGACAAGACACACTCCCTTTTCTTTCCCCTTCCATAGCCATAGCAGTGGCAGTATTTAATTTAAATTGGCCTAAAATTGCAAGCCACATTTTTAATCAATGCCACAGACTCTGGCACGTCTGGCTGCTGATTTTAGTTGAATTTTCACTGGGTGCACTTTGCCTTTGATTGCTGAACTGCGTTGATTAGACTCTGAAATTGAACGAGGCTGAGCAGAAGATGGCAGGGAAATCCACACACGAGTGCAGGGTAGAATTAAATTCAAGGGATTGGCCGGGCAAAAAACCAAATGCAAATAAAATAAAATAAAATGTATCTATTCCATAATTAACGTTTATGGGCCTGTGGGTAAGGGAAATAATTTATTTGATATTCCAATGGGCTAACTGAAAATATTATTATTTTCATTGGCAACAAAATGCAGGGTTTGTGGCTGTATTTAATCTCTTAAATTAATTACCATGCAAACGATGTTTAATTTTGCTCATTTTTTGCACTATTTAATAACACAAACCAAATGCAAATGAAACGTGTGTAAATTAATTAATGCATTTCAAAGGGAAGCAAATGAATTCCGCGTGGATAAGACATTCCTTGGAGTGGCAGCTGCGATGGCTCCCATGTGGCCAGAATTAAGTTCTTTGACTTCATTGGCCAACTGGTTTTCGGCCATGAAGTGTTAAATCAAATTTACAACAATATTAATTATAGGCTAGGCTCTGGATGTGGCTCTGGCTGTCTGCTTCTCTATTTCATCCTCTCTCTCTGGCTGCAGTCTGGGCTGGCTTCTCCTGGAGCTTATGCCACACCTGAGTGACTCTGCAGCTCTAATGGGCGCATCTCCTCCTCCACTGTGGCTGCAGCTCCACCCCTTTGGATGCCTCCTCCGACTCATGCGAAAGATCAAAAGTCGCTAGAGACTCGCAGCACAAGGGGGAAGAGGTGCAGAGCAAAGAGCTAAACCTGTTGGCAGCCAGAAGGAACTCAATTGCGAAACGAATATGCTCCCTGTAGCGAGCCCGTAGCCGTACTTACCCATGTGGCAAGATCAACCAGAACCAGAGACAAGCAGCAGCACACACACACATGTGGCAATCAGTTGTGGGGCTGCCACTGCCACCACCCCACCAGACCAAACATGTTTGCTGGATATTTGCCTTCTCTTTGGTTTGTTCTGACTGCTGCTGTTGCTGCTGCTGCCTCGCCTCCCCTTCAGTGCTTCTGTCTCTGCCCAGTCAAGCGTGCCGTCCGATCTGTGAAGAAGTCCAAGTTCATTGCTCTGACAATCGTCGTTGTTGTCGTCTGTGGCACGTCTGTCTGTCTTCATATGGTTGGGTATGGGTAAATGTTGCAAGTACTTACAGCTCACGTGTTGTGTAATTCCACATGCAAAAATTATGCATCTTGATTGGCAGTGACTCTTCGGATTCATTCGGATTCGGATTCGGATACACTGAAAAGCGTTTACTGAACTCTTGATTAATCGCCCATTTCTGGCCTGCTCCCCGCTGCCCGCTACCCAACTCCTCACCCCCGGCAAGACGCCACTGAACTTGGGGAATGGGGTGGAAAAACCGGGCTGGATTGTAGTCAAATTTGATTTATTTGACAGGCCTCCATGATGGGTCCATCAGCCAGCACCACAATGCGTTTGACACTCTTCCTATTTGCATAATTTTCATGAGAAAAGTGAGGGGGGGCTGTCCAGTAGCAGCGGGGGGTTGGGCAGTTTAATAACAAGAGAAGTCAATCAACCAAGGCTCAGCCGCTGCCGCTGCCTATGGAGCATGGGGCTTATAGCAGTTGAGCGACCCGATCCCCGAGGCCTTTTGCTTGCAACAAAGTTGCATCCAATCCATTTGCTTGCTATCAAAAGTGTCTTCCATAAATTTTTGAACAGGATTGCCCAGAGGAGGTTCTATCTTTATGGATCTCTTCAAATTATTATGCGCTCATGCCACATGCCAGCATAAAAAAAAATCCAATTTGCTTAGCAGATTCCACAGAACAAATATTTTTCTTCGTTTCAAATTTCCGTTTCGTTTGCAGAGCGCCATCGAGCAGTTTACGGGCATTTTTGGTAGCTTCTTATTGTATCATAGCTGCCAGCTTTTGCTGGTGTGCGGTAGCTTCCCAGACATCACGTGGCGCCAGTGTGCCTGTGGGCTGAAATTTAAATTAAATTAATTTAAAATTTGAGCGGTAGCAAATATATAAAGAAATTAACGGATAAATCGGAAACATCTAAATCAAAATGCAATTAACATGTAAGTTTATTTTGATGTGTAGCTACCTGCCATTAACTTTATCTGTGGATCCTTGTGAAATAAATCATTTATATAAAGCAGATGGATTTATCAGATAAAAATAAAAACAATATGTAGCCATTACAATTAGTAATACACCGAGGAATATTACGAACAGAATTTTGATGACAAATTTGTTGCTTTTGCGCGGTTGAAAATTCTTTTGGCTTGCAATTCCTTCGTTGTTGCTCGCTGCGGGTGACGCCTCCACAGATCCACAGATTCCAATGGGTTTATATTGGGGAAGCACATTCAATCCAAATTGAAGTGGAAAATATCTCTCTCGATTTTATTTGTTTCGAAACTCTATACGAAAAGTCAACTATGATTGTGTTTATATACCGATCTCCAATGTATTATTTCTTTCAAAAGTACCCCTACAATCCTCGAATAAAATTCTTCCATTTATTAAAGAACAAAAAAAAGCCCCGCGACGGTGCGAGAGACACAATAAATGCATTGAATAATTCGATTCGTTCGTTGAGTTGAGTGGGTGGCTGTGGCTGTGGCTGTTTGCCTAGCAGTATTTGTTCTTAAAGTCGTAATCATCGTCGCAACTGCCGCCGGAACCCGTGGCCAGCAGCTCGTCCTTGCAGCCATGATGCCTGCGATGCACATCCGTGTCGAAGCACTCATCGTGCAGTCGCTTATCCCGGCTCTTGCTGCGCTGTCGTCGCGCATGCGATCCATGCGATCCATGATGATTGTGAACATGACTGCTCGAACTATGATGATGCTCCCCGCTGGCATGGGCATGGGCATGGGCATGAGGATGAGGATGGAGTGTGGTCTTGTGGTGGTAGGGCGGCGGAGAGCTGAGCTCACGGGGCGCTCGACAGTGGCTGGTGGGCGGCACAGGATCATCGTAACGCGGACAGGGATGATCGCCCACGGGCGTCTCAGTCTCAAAGCGTTTCGAGAGCAGCGTAAACTCCTGATGGGCGGAGCACAGGGCCTGCAGGCGATGCAGCAGATCCGTCTCGGGCAGATCCCTCAGGTGCAGAGTGCGTGCCACCGAGGTGCGGAACGATTGCAAATGCGAGAGCCGCTGATTGGCATCCGAGAGCTGTGCACTCAAGCGATTGACATCGTCGCGCATGGACTGCAAAGGGGAAGAACAAAAGGCTATTAAAGGATCTTCAATTGGGGCTGATCTTCGCCCCACTCACATTGATCAGCGCCTCATCGCGACATCGGCGATTCTGGTTGGACTCGCAGGCGGCCTTCATCCGCTCCTTCATGGCACTCAGCTGGGCGAGCAGCCGCGTCTTCTCATCCTCCAAGTCGCACAGCTGTGTGGACAGCTCATCGATCTTGCGTGCCCGCTCCAGCGAGGTGATCTTGTACTCCACCGCCTCCGCCAGCTGTGCCTTCACCTCGGCTATCTGGGACCGGGCATCGCCCAGTTGGGCACTCAGCTTGTCCGCCTGCTTGGCCGCCTTCTTGGCCCGGCACACGGCATCGTCGCGCTCGCCCTGCAGCATGCACTTGCCCCGGGCGCCATCCTCGATGATGGCCAGCTTGCGGCGCAGCAGCTCCAAGTGGAGATCCCTGCGCTGCACCTGCTCCCGCAGGACGCGCACACGACGCTGCAGATTGTAGACGCTGCTGCTGCTGCTCTCCTTCAGGGGGATGTCGTGGCAGGATCGCTCTCGCCTCAGCTTGCCATGCCCATGGCCATGGCCATGGCCGTGATGTGGATCACAGCAGCCCTTGTCGGGCGTGTGTCCACGATGGTGTCCATGATGGTGGCCCAGCTCGTGCTCACAGTGCGCCGCCAGGCGCTCGGCTCGCTCCAGCAGATTGTCGGCCATCAGATTGGTGTCTGGCCCCAGGGCAGGCGGCGCGCTGCACTCGCCCCAGTTCATGGCGCTGGCCAGTCGCTGCAGGAACTCCGACAGGCCCATGTGCTCCTTGCGGAGTGTGTGTATCTCCGCATGACACTTCTCCAGCCGCTCGGACAGCTCGCATTTCTGTGCCTCGCCCGAACGGAGGCGACACTCCGTCGACTGCTGGGTCTCCTTGAGCTTCTCGTGTTCGCTGGTCAGCTGATCCCGCAGCGAATGCATTTGCTGTGGGGGGGCAGAAAGGGCATGTCAGTCAGAGATTAGTCATAGTTTAGAGTAAGCAAACCGCACCGCATGCATGGCCTGATTCTCGCTGAGGGTCTCCCGCAGCTTATCCTTGATGAGAGTCTCGCAGGGTTCGGGCACATTCAGCAGATTGCTCAGGCCGCGCAGAAACTGCAAGCGATCGCCCTGCGTCCTGTCCAGATTGTTCTGCAAGCGATGGCAGCGCGACTCGAAGCCGCGCAGCTCCTCCTTCAGCTTCTCCCCATTGATCTCCGACTCGGTGAGGCGATCCCGCTGGATCTGCAGATCCCGCTCGTACTGCCGGCAACGGCCCTCCAGCTCGTGGTTGTGATTCCCGGCGCCGTCCAGCTGGGCGGAGAGTCGCTGCTTCTCGATGTTGGCCAGCGACTTGAGATTCAGCAGCTCGTTCTCGCAGGAGCTGAGCGTGTCGCAGGTGGAGCTGATCTTCGCCTTGGCACGCTGCAGCTCGACCATCACCTCCTCGGCCCGCGAGACGACACACTCGGGCGTGGCATGGGAGCTTTGAGTGCTCTCGCACACATCCATGCCCAGGCTGATGCTCAGGCGACGCAGCAGATCGTGCAGCTGGGCCTTGGCCTGCTCCTTCTGCGACTCCTCGCTGGCCACATGCGTCTCCAGGTGCTGGATCTTGCCGATGAGCTCCTTGTTGCGCTCATCCGAGCTGCGCTTCTCCCGCTGCACGGTGTTTATGGTGGAGTCGCAGCGCGCCTGCACCGCCTGCTCTCTGGACTCGGCATTCTGCAGGCGACTTTGCAGCGAGCCAATGAGCGCCGTCTGTCGCGCGGCCTGCGAGCGAAGGCTCTCAATGTCCACCTCCTTGGAGCACAGGGCACTGCGCGTTTCAGCCAGCTGTGTGGGCAAAAATATGCCTTAATTTGTGAGTGCTTTAGAACCCTGCTCCTTGCCTATCCTTACCTCGCCCGTGAGCCGCTCTTTCTTGTAGGAGAGCGCCGCCAATTCGCTGCGCAGTGTGGTGGTCATATCCAGGCCATGATGATGCTCTGTGACTGTGATGCCCGCACTGCTGCATGATGTATCCAACTGGGGAGAGAGTTATATCAGTGGTTAAGGGCTGCTTCGTTGCTTCCTTGCTGCCATGGAACCCTACCAAATGATGATGATGCGGCGACAGGCCACCACTCAGTCCCAAGTGGTGGTGATGCAAATGATTATCACTGGGCATACTGCGAGCTATCTGTTCTATGATTCCCACCTGCAATGCAGCACCAACCAAACGTTGCCGGAGTCGCGCACCAACTGAACTTTGTGCTGGGCGCAGCCATTGGGCTTTGGGTTGCAGGAGCCCAACAACCTTTTGCCTAACAACTGGATGGGCATGGCCAGGCCTCGGAATTTACCTCAACATAACATCACACAATGCTCGCGCAATTTATGCTCCATAGATTGGGGATGGATGTGGCATGTGGCAAGTGAAAACGAGCTCAATGGCAGCGGCAGCGGCAGGGCGGCTCCACTCAACAGCCACGTTTACACATTGGGGAAAAAGAAAACTTTGCAGTTTGTTGTGTGCCTGTTATTTGGGTCATTCACCAGGCACCAAGTGCCGGCGGAGTGGAGTCAAATGCAATACACACGAAAGAACGAAAGAACGAACGAACGGACGGACTCACGCACACGACATGGAGTAGCTTTGGGGTCTGGGGGGTCTGGGCTTGGGAGCCCTGCACAGTGTGGAAATATTCGTTTTGGCCGGAAACGGAAAATGAGGTGTGCAACTTTTGGCCAATTGTCTGCACTTTCAGAGCCCAACGCTGTGGGGTGTGGGGGGTACAGACAAATGGGAACTGAAAATGTGTTTAATGTCCGATAAGATTGGCCATTGTGCAGCCAAGCAAATTATAGGGGAAACTTTCACAAGAGGAAAATGTCTTGATTGTGTGCAGAAAACTGTACTAAAGGGTCTACAGAGAATTGGTTCAAAGTGTTATTAATACTCCCAGAAATATTATAAAAAGGAAATCAATGAAGGGCCAAGCTATGAAGATTTTAATAAGGATTATTTAATAATTATTTATTAATTAATAAATATTAAAAATTTGGATATGCTTTAAATATATAGAAACTGTGTATAAAAATAGGGAATTATTTTTGCCTCAACTTTTTAACCCAATTAAGCTCAAATAATTTTGATAGATCCTCAAAAGAAAATTTCCAGAGTAAGGCTCTAAGCGCAGACTTCTCCTGCATGGTTGTGCATGCTCTCAACTAGCTCATTCTCATTATTTTACCCCAATGTATGCTTAACCATTCTGTCGTGTCATGGCACCCACTGTTGAACCCGTTAGATCCACCCGCTTTTATGCTAATACCACCCCCCCCCCCAGCCACACCCAAAATGTTATCATTTGCTAACGCGGAAGAACAGCAACGATTTTGCCTAACAACCGCATAAATTTCACACACAGCCAACAGACAAACAACAGAGACCCGGAGCAACATTGTCATTCAATTGCGAATTTCACATTAACGCAAAGCACATAAATCTCCGCAGTTATATGGCAGTTTGGCACACGATTTTCCAGAGACTAATTTTAGACAAAAGGAAAGACTCACCTGGTGGGAGGAGGGTGCCGCCACTCTGTGTTGGTGTGCTGGCGGCGATATCGTAGACATCTGCATCTGTGCCGAACCAGATCCATTTCCATTTCCATTTCCTTTGCCGCACAGGAGCTCAAACACTTGCCAGTCCTCGGGGGCATTGCCATTGGTGGTGGGCCGCAGATTTGTAGGCATTATGCGGGGAATACTAAATCCGACTGTTGGGCTGGCCGGCCGTTGTGTTGGGCCTGTGATAAATTTCTATTCTCTCTATTTTCTAAGCGTAAATAGTATGCTCAGCCTGGCAACAACTACTCGGCACAAAAGCAAAGTTATGCGGCAACTTTCACGGTTGCCAGGTGCAACAAATAACTATACATCGGTGGCCCCAAAGGGTGGGCAGCTGGGGGGGGGGGGGGGAGGGTTACTACGGTGACTAAAGTGCACATAATTCGATTCCATAAAACTGCAATTTCCATATGGCAAAACACGCGAATCGTTTTGCCTGTAATTTCATTTGTCTGCTTGTCGAAATATGCTATAATGGATATGGCAAATGTTTGAATTAAGTTTCCCTATCCACTACCCTATCCCCCACCCAACACCCCTTCTTTAATGTCGACTTCTGTTGAGGGTTAAGTTCATGTATTTTTTCTATTATTATTTGTTGATTATTTTGTTTGGGTTGCCAACATAAATAAATTGATTGATTGAATGAATGAATGACGAAACTATTTTCTATTTTCCTCACTACCGAAAACTTTAGAATTTCTTCTTGTTTTTCTTATCCTTTGAGGCTCGTTTCTGCTTTAGCAGCAATTTCTGAGTCAAGGAAAATGCTCGTTTTTCCTAAAAAAAAAAGTGCCAGAGATTACCGTGGGCTTAGTCAGATCAACTAGAGTTAGTTACCGCCTCCGCTATGCGCTCCTGTTCCTCCCTCTCAATTTGTGCCCTGACCTCGATTATTCGCCGCTTGAACATGACCTGCTGATCCCTGTAGAAGACGAGATCATCCTTGACCTTTTGCAAATTGTTGCGCGTTTGATTGCACAGCAATTCGACACTCTCCAGATCCGTGTCCAGCTTCTCCTCCCAGTCCCTGATCTGATTCTTGAAGTAATCTATCTGAAAGGCGTACACAAAATCTGAGTTATGATGCACCAGTGCGTCCTGGTTCATGTGGGCCTTTATTTGGGTCAATTCGTTCTGCAGGAGGTCCTCCTTGCCCTGGAGTCGCATCAGTTTCTGATCCACGCAGCTGTACATCCAATTGATGCGATACCGCAGATCAATGGGTCCAACAGCTAAGGCAGAGAGAACACTTAAAGTAGAATGGGAATCGACTGGGAATACTCGTACGTACCCTGATGATGCTCGAATTCGACTTTTATATTCGACTGACGATCATCGGTGCTCCTGCGGTAGTTTCTTGACTCTGGATTGGTAAAGGTGTTGAACTGCAGCTCCTCCTGCAATTGGCGCGCCTGGTTGATGTCATTAATCCAATCCGAGTTCGTAATGTATTTGGCATCGCTGCAAAGCAAAGTAAATGCCAACCAAAATCACCCAATTGATTGATTAATTGATTCCGCTTACTGTATCAATCTCATGGAAAATTCGCATATGTCCCGACCGTCGATAAAGTCATCGCGCACCTCCTGAAACAGCGATATGATCTCGTGCAGATCCGTGCGAAACTTGATGCAATCCAAGTCGCTGGAGCAGCGCTCCCGCTGGATCACATCCAGATACAATTGATTGATGAACAGACGCTGCATGAAGTATTCCACCGACCAGTGAAACAGATTATTCGGCACCTCGTTGAGCTCGCCAGGCCAGGGATTGCTGAACAGTCCCAGTTGCTTGCGCAGGCGTGGCAACATGAAGTCAATCGACGCCTTCTGGCACGCCAGCGTCAGCTCGTACAGCCTCACCGTACGCCGCTTGATGATGCTCACCGTCGTCATGCGCTGGCTGGACCACAATCTAGTCTTTCGGATCATCTCCCTGATGGCCAGTGCCTCGGGTGTCTTCTCGGGCCCATCATCATCGAGGAACATCAACTCGCGCGAATTCTCTGTGCGCTTTTTCTTCTCCACCACCGTCCGGTAGGGCCCCAGTATGTTCTTGAGAAACTCATCGCGACACAGTTCTGGAATCGTCTGTTCTGGCAATGGAAAGGGTATATTGTACACGGATATATTTTCCACCTCATTGGCCAAAGGAGGCTCCACTCCTCCCGAAGTTCTGGGTGCTGATTCCTGCTGCTCATCCTCTGAATCAGAAGCTTCCTCCTCCTGCCTTTGTGTGCCCTGTTTCTGTATTGTGTTTGCTTGCATGTTGGAATGTGTCGCTTTTTAGTAGAATTAATTATCAGAAAATGTTGCTTAGGTTTTGGAATTTATATTCTCTCTAAGGGGTATCAAAAGTAGGTACCCCCGATTCACACTCAGAAATCCTCACACACATACGAGTGTCTACAACTACAACTGCAGTTTGTAAAGTTCTGTTCTTGCCATCTTCTTTTGGCTTTTGCCATTCCCGATTTTGTTCCCATCTTTACCCCTGCCCCACCCCACCCCATTCCCATTATTCCCCATGTCTGGGTTGGCTATAAATAAAGAAGTTCTTGTTGCCGCTGCTGGTTCTTCTGTTTCAGCAGAAAGGGCCCCAACATAAGCTGGCTGGTTATACACTGCTTTTTAAAAAAGAGTGTTTTAGCTTGAGCAGAAGGAGGGTGAAGCAGGGAACACGCCCGTCACACGCAACTCTGTTCATACACAGCTAATTACATGCACGCCCACGAAGCTAATTACATTCACCCAATCGGATATTGGTTTTGTTGCGAAATAAAGTTTTGTTCGTACACAGCTAATTACATACGCACCTACATACATATGTATGTGCACACACAGCTAATTACGTACATATATCCAATTGAATGCACTGTTAGGATTAGTTTGAACTTGTTTGGTGGAATCCTCGTGTACCGCTTTGCATATCCATTAGGGAACCAACTTCCCTTAAGAGTATCTCCGACATCGGTGCTAGCCGGATTTCTGCAGTGTTCCCTGATTCTCTTTTGTTCGTTTTTTTTTTTTTTATGTTGTTTCATTCTGCTGCCTTCTGCTGTGTTTGTTCCCTTTACGGATTGGGAATGGGCCCAAGGAATGGGGAACGCGAGACAATGGCTGGCCACGCAAGGTTACCTGCTGCAGCTTGCTGCGTTCCTGCTGCAATTTCTAATCGAAACGAAACCTTCTACCCTAATGATGGCCGCAGGCGGGCCCCGGCTGCTACATATTTGGCTGTGCTTTGTCAGAGCGCGCCCTTTGTTAGCTGAAAAAAAAATCTGGCGGCAGGCAAACTCCTCCATGGCTCTGGGACTCGTTCGGATAATCAATTCCAAGTAGGTAGCATGCAACATGCTGCACCAGGATGGTACTGCTTTTTGGCCTGTTCGCCTATTCAAAATTGTTCCGTTAAAATCTGTGCGCGCTGGCTGCGGTTGCCGCAAAATGTTGCACAAACACCGCGCGGAAGAGAGCCTCCATCAACATAAGGGACCGGCACACTCACAGCGAGAGAGAGAGACAGAGAGAGAGCATAATCAGCCATCCACTATGAAGCCCTTCAATGCACTCTTTTTTTCTCTCTCTCTCTCCCATAATTCTCGCTCTCCTCCCCCGCTGCTTAGAATGCTGTCCGTTGGGGAACGAATGGCACGGGATGGAATGGGACAGAGTGGTCAGGGTGTACATATGTATGTCTGCGCTGGTGCTGGCTGTCGTTCTTTTTCTGCAAGCTCTCTGCCTGCTGCCGCTTTGCTGTCATTCCTGGTCGCCTGTTCGCACACACCATCGAAATTTCACATGTAATTCCCACGGCCTGAATTTTCCCACACGAAGAAGGGGCAGAAGCAGCATCGGAGGAGGAGGAGGGTGAAGAGAGGACAGACACACCACAAGTTGTCCACAACGCAGACACATCTTTGATACACTTTCAGAGTATTTCTACGAAAATGATTGCGATGCATTTCTCTATATGATCAGGATCGAAAAACTATATTAGCTAATATGTAAAAAAATGCATCAACTAACTTAAATTTACCTGCATTTCTTTTTTTGGTACACAGCTGATGCTGAAATTTCATAAGCAGCTATGCACATACACAGCTTATTGCGTACACACTGTGCACACACAGCTTATTACATACAGCCATTTCACCAGATTTTTAAAGTAAATTTCAAATAGAAAATGCTAGAAATTCTTAAACCAAATAACTATAATTATAAACCCATTCGAAATCTTCTACTTTTCATCGCTTTCCCCTAAAGTTAATATAATTCTTAAATTACAGAATAATTACCATTCTTTTATTTATTGTTGCAAGAGTATATCAAAATCGGCGCGTCCAAGTTATCTTTTGTGCAATATTTTTTTTGTATTATTGCATTGAATTTGCTCCCAGGGTCGTTGTCGTTGGTGCTCTTCCGTTCCTTCATCTCTTAGTTTGGTCGTTTTGCTTATGCTGCTGTTGTTGCTCTTTACGCTTCTTCTGGGCCTCAGACCCAGGCCCCCACTCCTGTGGCTGCCCCTTCCTACTGATCGACTGGTCCCGGGTCCTGCTCCGCCGCCTGTGGGTTAACATCTTCTTCATTCGGCCGTCCGTCCCGTCCATCCAGTCTGTTGGCTTCGCATTCCTTTGGCCAGGTCTGGCTTCATCTGCAACCTGACCAGCACTTGGCCTCTCCTTAGTAAGGTTTCTTCGGGCACTGTGGATTGCATATGGCAAAAGTGATCAAATATGTGTGGAGATCGGTGATTCATTATCCATTCGAAAATTATACTGAATGAAGCAATAATTGCATTTAATGACTTACGCCGCCGCAAAATAAAATCCGTAAAAATTTGCAAAGTGAATTTTAAATTTATTTTGCCAAAAATGTTTACTCCTGATTTGATTGAAGATTTAGCTGGCATGCACAGCACAGCCATGAACTAAGCATGCCTCAAAGGTGGCAGCCAGAGGCACTGCAGAAAGTTTCCAATGCACGACAACAGAGTGGAGGTCATCTTTATGCTATAGAGCAGCGGACCAAAGAGCACTTGCAGGCCAAAGTAACTAATCATTTTTGTAGAAGAAACGAAAGGCACCTGCAACAATCTAAAATCTTACGACATTGCAAATTGTGTTCGATTTAAATGTTGAAGCCTACTGTGCGGCCTTGAGGAAGCTGCAAGAAATGTCTAAGCCGAGGCCAGGCACACACTCGAGCCACTTCCTCCGCTGCGGTGCCTCCCTCATCCACTTCTTCTAATGGTCCATCTGTGGCCCATCCGTTCCGTTCCGTTCCTCTGCGCTGCTCTGCAGTTTGTTCCTCTGCACCGATTGCTGATAATGAGACTCATGGTGCAGCTCTGACTACTGCACTCCTGGTCTCATCAATATGTTCAAGGATTTTTTCATGCTTCCAGGCATCCCACACGCGCTTGCCGTCTCTCTTTCACACAAAGTAGCCCATTGTATGTGAGAGGGATGCAGAGAGAGAGAGAGAGAGAGGGTAGAGCTAATGTCAGAGAAAGGTCATGTCGAGTGGAATTTTTGGCAAATTCCGTTTGGCTCTGCTCTGTTTGAATTGCTGCTATCCTGTCGCTTGAACTCAACGAAGGTAACAAAAAATGCACTCGAACGGGGTCAAGTGGAGTCTGTGGTCTATCCACCCCACTCACTCAATTGTCAAAACGGTGCTCCACTCATAACAAATGCTCGAAATGGGATACAAGTATGAGGCTCAAAAGTTTACTTCGTCGTAATATAATTGCTCAAAAATATGATATGCAAGCTCATTGGTTATGCACTGTTAGAAATTGCAGTACTCTTTATACACGACACATTATTTATGGCTATGAAATGTACTTTTTCCGTCAAGAAATTTTAAACTGATGGCTGTACAGTGTACATATATCACATTGAGCAAAATGGTGTTTTTTTTTTTGTTTGATTGCTAAGTAATATCAAAAATCCTGCAGTGTAACGGCAAAGCTCTTTCCAAACAAACTTTTTCCCCCCTCCGCCCACACACACTCACAAAGCAAATGAGCAAAAATCCAAAACGTACACGTACACGTACACATACATAAACGCGTACTTGTTATGCTGTGAGCCTGTTATTTAGAGTCCATGAATCGAAATTGTGTGGCTCAAGTGAGTTTCGTTTCGAAAATGGGGCGAGTGTTGGTTAACTCGAGTATTGCACTCATTTAAATTCGTAAATAAAATGCCATTGCGAATACGGCGAGAGTGGCAACAACTAAATATAAGCAATATACACTAGGCAGAAAAATAAACATTCTATTAACTGTGAGCATGGCAATTCGAACAAACTAGAGCAGTGAGCAGCATCATTTAGATTTAGACCGGAATAGTAGCAGGCGCGCAGCATAGCTTTGCTTTTAAGACCAGAAACAATTTCCATTCTCATACATAGCTTTTCCCCTCCAGCAGTAACAATTCTGAAACTCACCTGAGAGCTTTCAGGTTCACGAGCTTGCTGTCAGCTGAAGCTTTTGAGAGCGCGCACTTTTGAAAGAAACAGCCAATTGTGTTTATCACATTGTACATTTTAATTTGCATTCAAATCAACAAATAGTTGGTATTGTTCGGGCTGGTTCCTCTTGGCCCTGGTATGCCAGGTCTCGTGTAAATCAAACTTCTGTAAACAAATTGATGAATTTTGGCACAAAACTAGCGATGATAGCAAAATATCGCCAACTATCGAGTGTATGTTACCGATGGCACATCGATACTTACTGCAATGCAGCTCTAGAGCTCAGCTGGCGCTGGTTGCAAATTCTTGGTTTTTGGTTTATACAAGTTTAAAATTGAAACTCAGAGCAAAAATACAACCAAAACACTGTGTTGTGCGTGGGGGCAGAGAGACATATAATAAATTGACATTAAAGTGCCGTTTAGAATGTGCGGCAGCGACACTGTCGGCCGCCGCCTTTGAAACAAAGATGCTGCTTGCTGCTGGCATTGCGAAATATTGCAGCACACAGGGCGACAGCTACAACAACAGCTACAACAGAAACGACATAACAGATTTAAACCGAAAAACAAAGGAATAATCAATTAAAAACCCACTGTACGGCAGTGTTTCAGGCGTACGGCACTGGGAGCCATCGCGCAGAGACGCCTCTAACCTGTTGGCGAGGACCAAAGGAAAAGTTGCGTGAACAGCTGCAGGTCCGTTGCGTGGGTCGTGCCGTGTTTGCGGCACGCCAGCTGCGCTGCTTTTGGCAAGAGAACTCGAAAAAACAATGGAAATGCGAGAGGTATTGAGTCGGGAGGGGCGCGAGGCGAAGAATCTGCTCGTCTACCAGTTTTGCGACGAGACATCGACAAATTCGATGGCCAGCGGAGGCGGAGGCGGTGCCGGTGGCGACACCACAACAAGCGGAGGCGTCATTATAAACGGTGACTGTAAGTGGAATCTTTTCGATGTGGACACTTTGAAACCTAAATGTTCTCTCTTTCAGGCTACCGCAAGCCACCGATGGCGCCGCCCAAGTCGCCCCTGGGCACGCCCAAGAGCTGCCAGTCGCCCACATCGCCCTCGGTGCGGATCAAGTCCGCGGAGCACAGCCTATCGGGTCCGCGCGTGCGCAGCGCCTCCACGGGGCGTGACAAGAAGTCCGAGCTGCAGGCCCGCTACTGGGCACTGCTCTTCGGCAATCTGCAGCGGGCAGTCAACGAGATCTACCAGACGGTCGAGTGCTACGAGAACATATCCAGCTGCCAGGAGACGATCCTCGTGCTGGAGAACTACGTGCGGGACTTCAAGGCGCTCAGCGAGTGGTTCAAGGTCTCCTGGGACTATGAGTCGCGTCCGCTGCAGCAGCGCCCCCACAGCCTGGCGTGGGAGGTGCGCAAGAGCAATCCCACGCCGCGAGTGCGCACCAAGAGCCTCTGCAGTCCCAACAACTCGGGCAAGTCGAGTCCCGCTCTGTTTGGCGGCTGCCAGTCGGGCAAGACGTCGCCCTGCTACGATGGCCAGGTGTCGCCCAAGAAGCTGCTGCGTGCCTACGATCAAATGCCGCGCGGGGCCATGCGTCTGAATGTCCGCGAGCTGTTTGCCAGCAGCAAGCGCGCCACCCAGGGATCGGCCCAGTCGGATCCCATGGAGGCGACAGCGGAGGGACCCTTGGACTTGAGCAACGACAAAACCTATGTGCAGCTAAACACTCAGTACTCGCAGACGGATCTAGAGGATCCGCATCTCACGCTGGCCGATGTGCGCGAGAAGATGCGCCTGGAGGCAGAGCAGCGTGAGGCAGAGGAACGTGAAGCGGCGGCAGCCAAAGCGGAGGCAGAAGCAGCTGAAATCGAAGAAGAAACAGCCGCCGAAATCGATGAATCAGCCGCTGAAACCGAAGTAGAAGCCGCTAAAAAAGAACCCATTCCAGCAGAAGCTGCCGAAAAAGACACAAAACCAGAGGCAGTACAGCCACCCACAGAGAGCACAGAGAAGGATCAGCCACAACCGCCACCCTCCAAAGTGGCGGAACCCACAGCGCTGCAGATGACTGTGGCCTCGCTGGAGCTCATGGAGAATGCACTCCTTGCCGAGCAGGCCAACAAAGAGCCCACACCGCCCAGCACAGTGGTGAAGCCAGTGGTGGAGCTGTTCAAGAAACCCCAGCCACCGGTGCCGACCATCAGCGGGGTGCAGAGCAGTCCCCTGAAGTACTCCAGTGTGCTGAATCGTCCAGTGAAGAAGGGCATGAGTGCCACGGCAGCTGTAACACTGAATGCCAAGGCTGCTGCGGTGCCAGCGAAACCCACAAGCAGTACCACGAAAGCAGCTCCTGCTGCTGCCCCCGCTGCCGGTATAAATGGCATTCGTCGTGGAGTCAAAGCAGCACCGATGGCCGCCAAAACTGGACGCAGTGCGGCCCCGCCACCGCCGCGACCGTCCAGCAAGACCGAATGCTATGGTCCGCCCAACAATGTGGCCTCCAGGCTGTCGGCACGTTCGCGCACGATGCTGGAAATGAATGAAAAGGCCAATGGCAACCAGCAGGCGGTTGCTCCGCTCTCCAAGGCCCTGCCCAAGCGGTCGTCCACCACGCTGATCGCGCCACAGCGACGCAATGCGGGAAGTTCGAAGGTGAGCAGCCGCGAGGATATAGGCAGCTCCACTTCCACCCTCAAGGCCAGCAACGAGCAGCTCAGCAGCTCGCGGAGCACTCTGAAGCTGGAGGATAGACATTCCGAGCCCAAGCAGCTGCAGCAGAAGGCAGATGCCAACGATGGCTGGCTGACGGTGAAGAATCGCCGCAGGAGCAGCATGCACTGGGCGAATCGATTCAATCAGCCCACAGGCTATGCCAGTCTGCCCACGCTGGCGCTTCTCAACGAGCAGCAGCGCGAGAAGGAGGACAAGGAGAAGCAGCAGCAGCAGCAGCAAAGGGCAAAAGCAAGCAAATCCATTCCGCAAACAGCAAAGACCACAACAGCCACCAAAGAGGCAGCAGCGGCAGCAGCCAAAGGCAAGGCAGCACCGGCCAAAACGAGTATGACAGCAGCCGCAGCAGGCACACGACCAGAGATCAAGAATGCCAAAGCGAAAGTCAACTCTTTTCCGCCACTAAAAGCGCCCGCAAGGAAGCCAGAAAAGCAGGAGAAGGCCACCGCCTCTGCCTCTGCCTCTGCAGGTGGCGCACGCAGCAGCCTGCCGGCCACAGACAACGTCTGTGCGGCCGCACGAGCTTCCACCATTAAAAGACAGAAATCGGATCTCACGGGACTCAAGATGACATCGCTGCACAAGGAGTACATGCGCAGCGAGAAGAATGCTCTGCGCAAGCAGCAGCAGAAGGAGCACGACCAGGACAATGGCTCCACATCCTCGGTGGACACTGTGGTGGAATGTAAGCAGAGCCGAGCCGAGTTTTTATTTTAATTGGCTTGCAGTGCATTTTCTGATCCCTCTCTCTCTTTCCTTTGCAGTCTCCACCGATGAACACCACAAGATTGACATCAAGATTCAAACCAATTGCGAGTTTTCCAAGACCATTGGGGAGCTGTACGTGAGCGTGAATCAGCCGAATCTGCTCAATGGTTGCCTCAAGCCGGAGGCCAATACGCTGAGTGCCTGCGATGAGAACGACGAGCAGAACACCGACGACAACGAGGAGGAGCGCGATGAGCGCATTCTGGTGGAAGAGCAGGAGTCCCTGGAGCGGCAGATACGCGAACTGGAGCAAACGGAAATCGATGTGGACACGGAGACGGATGAGACGGACTGCGAGGTGCAGCTGGATCTGGAGCCGGAGGATCTCTTGGGCGGCGACGATGCCGCTGTCTTTGTGACAATGAGCGACGATGAGAATGCCAGTCTGGAGCTGCGCTATCAGGCGCTGCTCTCGGACATGTCGTGGAACGAGCGCGAAGAGGCCTTGGCCACCCTGCAGGCGTATGTGGCCCGTCATCCGGGCCGTGCCCAGGAGCTGCACCAGAAGCTATCGTCACCGTCGCGTCGTCGCTCGCTGCAGGAGACGCTCAAGAAGTACCAGGCGAAGCAGGCACGGGCGCATCAGAAGCGGATTGTCCTGCAGCAGGAGAAGGCGGCCAAGCTGCAGCAGCTCTTCGATCGCGTCGAGGACGTGAAGGCGGCCAAGAAGCAGCTGATCGAGGACAAGCGCCTGAAGATGCAGGGCCGCCTGCAGCGGGCAGCCGAGAATCGGGAGAACTATCTCAAGCAGATCATTGTGAAGGCGCACGACGAGGACAAGAAGCTGAAGGAGATCACCTTTATCAAGAACATGGAAGCCCAGAACAAGCGACTGGACATGCTCGAGTCCTCCAAGGAGATCGAAGGCAGGCTCCAGGAACTCGAGCAGGAACGCCAGAAGCGGGTGGAGGAGAAGCTGGCCAAGGAAGCGGCCGTCGAGCGACGTCGCCAGGCGCTGGAAAAGGAGCGTCAGCTGAAGCTCGAGAAGATGAACGAGACGCGACTGGAGAAGGAGCAGCGCATTGGCAAGATGCAGGAGCAAAAGGAGCGCCAGCGTCAGGCTCTGGCCCGCGAGAAGGCCCGCGATCGGGAGGAGCGTCTGCTGGCGCTTCAGGTGCAGCAGCAGCAGACCACCGAGGAGCTGCAGCGGAAGATCCAGCAGAAACAGGTCGAGTCGGCACGCCGTCACGAGGAGAACATCGAGCACATACGCCAGAGGGCCCTCGAGCTGACCATGCCCACGCGCCAGCCAGAGGATGGGCGTGGCGACCAGGAGGACACGGACGATGCCCCCAACAATACCAGCAACAACGAGGATGGGGACATGTCGTCCACCCGTTCCGAAATGGGTGGAACGGGCGGTCATTCACGCAGCTACAAGAAGAAAATGAAGAAGTTGAAGCAGCGAATGAGTCAGAGGTACTTTGGAGCGGGTATTAATCCAAAGGATTCAATGGCTAATAGGCTCCTGTTTGTTGTCCTTTCAGTGCCGCTGAGTATTTGGAGAGCATGGAAGCCACGCCCGCCTACGTGAAGCGCGACAGCACGGTGCCAAAGCTGCTGAATATGATCATCAAGGGCGGCGGGCCGCAGGGCATGGAGCGGACCTTGGGCAACCTGCTGCGCGTCCTGCCCAAGGCACAGACATGCGATTTCCACGCCTTCCTTTGCATGGACGCCCTGGGCATATTGACCAATCATGTGATTACCGAGGGCCTCAAACAAAACACCGAGGTCTCCATCAAGTCAGTGTGCCTCCCCCCATCCATATATACATATATCGTCCAATGTGCAGAGAATAATCCTTTGTTCGCTTTCAGATCTGTCTATTTGGCGGTGCAGCTCTATAGGAATGCCTGCTCCTTGTGTCCCCAGATAGCACGTCACGGTCTGCTGGGTAATTCCATAGCCGCTCTGCTCGATGCCATCAACAAGAACCTGCAGGTAATCCCACACACACACACACACACACACAATCCCATACAATACACAAAAGAAACTTTGGCGAGAGGAAACTTCGTGCCACCCAAGCGCGGCTTGCTGCTTGCTCCACACCAATAAAAGTGTCGCCAGGCAGTCGCTGCAGCCAGGCAGGAGACTGGCAAGAAGTTGGCAACTGGCAATTCCCCAGGCCCATGCCCACACACACACATATAGTATGTATATCCTCGTACTTGGCTCGCGTTATAGTCCTGCCCAGCAGCCACTTAACACTTGGCCGCGTTTATGTCTCTCTGTCTGTCTTTAACCTATGGAAAATGTCACAGCCCCGTAACGCCAAGGGTCTCGAGGCATTTTCAGTCAGTTTGTGACTCCTTTTGTAGGTATGCCAGAGCTTAAGAAAACATTACTAGAAAAGTATTGGGAAATACTTGCTGATGTGCAAGCTAGATTAAGCGATCTTAGTTTAGATTGGTTTGTCCCTCTGTATGTATGTCCGGGATATATGTATGCATTTATTATATATGTAGAAATCAATATCCTGAATCGGTTATTCCGCTTAGTTAGAGCATTTACTAGTCATCGCTTCCCTCTACTCTCTGGCCTCTCTCTTGTGCCCCTACCATTTGTTTAAAGTTTATGTTTTATTTCGACTTTTGTTTTTGCCCCGTTGTCCGTCCCTGCCCGCTCACTGGCTGCTCTTCTGTCCGCTGGCTCGTTTGGATCGCGTTGTTTATTTGCCATTTCTTTGACGCTTTTATTTGGCGCTGCCTTTTGTTTGTTTGGCATTTTTATTTGAATTTTATTTACTGGCCGCCGGGACGGAACGGGCCTTGGGGCGCTGTCAGCTTGGCCTATCAATTTTTAAGCACTAGCTCTGTGTACCCTGTGGACCTCTCTCTCTCTCTCTCTCTCTCTCTCTCTCTCTACCTCTGTTGTTCCCTTTCTGGCCAATTTGTCAGCGTGTAAAATGTTTATATGTATATTTTGCGGCTGCTGTTAAATCAATCGTTAAATGGCATAAAAAGCCACTCTCCCACCCAATAAACGTTGCTCTTCACCTCGGTTTATATTTTTATTTTTCGTATATTTTTTTTGTATAATTTTTGTTGTATATTTTATTCCATAACAAGAAGTGAAGGGTAGCTTGGGGGAGTCGAAGATTACAGACCCTTGCAGATGAAATATTTTGATGAAATTTTTGGTTAGGGATAGTGATCCGTTTTTGTGTTAGTTTTCGATTAAATTTATTAATGAATGTCAATATGTCTCTCTATTCCCAAACTCTCTATTTTCTGTGAAGAGAATTTATTCTATGAAATTAATTTGATAATTATTCGCATTTCCATGAAATGTATATATAATATAAGTAATAGTTTTCCGATCGCAGTGGTTTCTGCCTGTAGAAAAAAGTTGAGAATTGTGAAACATTTTCTAGAAGTATGTGAAAGGTTAGGTTCGGCTTAATGGCAGTTCATTTTTCTTAAACCTTTTACGATTTTTTAAACTGCTCCGAATAAGTGTCATACCCCCCGCATAGAGGGTATCAAAATGTTTACTGCGCATCGCACTTTGTGGAGTTCCTTTTTGGCTCGTGTTTATTGTCGCTCACCTCTGTGCCTACCACCTCTCTCTACCCTGGTACTTCACTTCTCCGTCGCTTCTCTTCCCACCGTTACACTCCTTCTGGCCTTCTCCTCTGCCCCTTCTCTCACCTTTTGTTTGATGGATCAGCGCGCGCGCCGCTTGTCATGTAATGAAGAATAAGAGGATGAAGCGCAAGCACAAGGAGCAACAGAATGAAAAAAGTAACAGTAACTGTTTGGGTGGAGAGTGCGTGAGTGAGTGGGGGATAGATTCAGAAAGAGAAGTAGAAACATCAATTAACATTTTTGATGGATGTGGAATGTCTTTCTTTTTCAATGTTATTTGTTGCTGTTTAAATTGTCAATTAATTTAAACACGAAACGAGAGATTTCACTTGACATCCACCAGGCAGGCGCTTCTGCTGCTCTTCCTCCTCCTCCTCCACCTCCTACCCTTTCTACACCATTTTCGATACAAGCGAAAAAAGCATGCAACAATTGTGTACTCGAATTTATTTTTAATTTGTTCGAATCTCTCTGATTTTCTTTTCGATTTTCGTTCGCTCTTGTTCCGCAGTTTCCCGAAGAAAAATCACCACAACATCCGGTTGAGTTATCCACCGAGCTAATGATGGCCTGCACGGAGGCGCTCTCCTCGAACTACATAAAGAAGGACACCCACCCCAAAGTGCCGGAACGCCTACCGGACCTCATCAAGTGAGTGCAACAACAAAAACAACAACAAAGCAAAACACACACACACAAAACACACGAAAACAGTAAAATTCCCAAACTACAAGTTAACTTCTGGAAAAAGAGGGGAAATTTCACCATTTCGAAAATCCAGTTCGAAAATGTGTACAGGCCAGAAAGGGCCAGCTATACGGGGGTGTGTGTGTGCCATAGTGCCATCCCACTCTACCACTCTCACTTGCCTTCCAGTGTGTGTGAGGGGCGTGTCACAGCTGCTGTGCGAGTGGGATGGCATACGCAGACACACACACACACACACGCACACATAAAGACCACTCTGTCGCAGCGCAGCGAGCTGCTCTGCCGCCTCCCTTTGCGTTTAGCCGCAACGTTAATCGTTGTCGCTACGTCAAACGTAACGGCCAGGAAAGTCGCACCAAAAAGGGATATATACTCCGTAGGATACACACACATATAGAGGATATATGGCTGTGTAGCTGTAACGATTGTTGTTGTGCCTTTCAACACTCTGAAACACTTTTTATGGGGCCTGGCCTGCTGCTGCTGCTGCTTTTTGTTGGCTTTAATTTCAAAATGAAACTTTAATATCGAATTCTCAGTTATTTCTTTGGCGTTGGTTTCCTCTCAATATACAAAATATTTCTGGAGAGGGTATTATGGTTTTGGGGAGATTTTGGCGCATGTCTGTCTGTTCGTTTCAATTAAAACGGCTTCAAAAATTTTTAAGTTATGCCTTGGCACTTATTTTTGATTTACACAGAATATAAGTGGAAAACCTAAAGAATAGAGCACTACTAAACCGTAAACAAAATTAGTCTACGAATAAACTTGAATAAATAAATTCAAATTAATAATAAAATATAACGAAAATGCAAACAACAAATTATTCATAAAGAAATAATTTTCCTAAGCTGAGAATAATCTCATTAAATTTTACAAATTATAGTTATAGTTATTTCTGCTATATTTCATTTACATAAATCTGACCACTTTATCGAGTATAACAATAGGAATTATATATCTCTTCTGCAGTACTCATTTCTGTGCTTATTCTATATCTTCTATATCATAGTCTTCTCTATATTCTCTTTTGAATCTTCTGGGCCATAGATTATATCTTCAAAGGGTATCCCTATGTTTTACTTTCCATTCTGCAGCACATCCCTTCTTGTTTTTCTTTAATTTGCGCTCATTTTAGTGTGGAAAAGTTTTAATCGAATTGTTGTTATTGCAGTCCCTAGTCCCCCCCCACCCACTAGAATCTCCTCCTTTGTAGCAGCCATTTTGTTTATTTTCGTATAAATTGGTTTCTATGTGTGGGTGTCTGTGTGTGTGTGTTTGTGTGTGTGTTCGTTCTCCTTTCATTGTTATATGTATAGAGAAGAAGAAAACTTTGTTGTTATGCATTTTTCAATTGTGAATTGGCTTTTGTTTGTTGTTTGGTTTTTTCGACCATTTTTTGTTGACTTTTTTTCCGCTCTATAAGTGTATGTGTGTCCGAGCCTTTTGTTTATGCTATTGTTGTGTGTTTATGTGTGTGTGTGTGTGTGTGTGTGTGTGAGTTTTTGCCATGGCTCTGACCATTTTTCCTGCCTTTTTCTAGCTTTTCTCTCTGTCGTTGTTTTTCTTTCATTTTTTTGTTGGTTACTTTTTTTGTGTGCCTTTATTCCCTTCTTTTTGTTTTTGTTGTTGTTGGTTACTTTTTTCTCCACTGTTCTTTATCAATTTTCGTTTGTTTATATTTTCAATTTGCTTACAAAGGCTTTTCGTTTATTTTATTAGCCCAGGCCATTGTTGGTTTTTTATATGCGTGTGTGTGTGTGTCTGTATGTGTGTGTGTTCTGTTCTTTACAGCCTTTTGTGGTTCTGCTTCTGCCCACTCACCGCCTTCTCTTTGGTCCTGCTGCTGCCGCTGCTGTTCCTTGTGCCATTTTTCGTGGCGCGCTTTTCGGCGCTCAATTCAATTACAGGAGCACAACACTGCAGCTGTATGGGTGTCTGTATCTGTGCCTGCGTCTGTGTGCATGAGTTTGCAAAATCAAATTTCCTTTTGACTATAATTTTTTGGGGGCGACGGAGGGTCGAAACCACCCCCCACACATTCATCTACCGCCCTCTCTCTCTCTCTCGCTCGCTCGCTCGCTCGCTCTCTGTCTCTGTGGCACCTTCATTTTTTGGCTTTGGTTGAATGAGAAATTCAATTCGCCGCACTTGAATGGTCCGCCATCTTCTCCCTGCTCCCCACCCTCCCCGCTGCCCGCTGCCCACTGCCTGCTCCATTTCCATTTTCTTTTAAGAAGTCTGGCCACATTGGTGAAATGTTTTGTAGCTGGGCTCCATCTCCATCTTCTCTTTCTCTGCCTAATTCAATTGCAGCTTTCTTCTCTTGTTCCCCTTGGTCCCCTTGCTCTACGTGCAGCTTTTTGCGAGATGCATAATTAAATTTTTGTTTACTTTTAATTGGTCAGGTTTCTTGGGCTCCAATGCTCTGGGCTCTGGATAGGGTCCTTCTTGGCAGTTGTTTGCCACTTTTTTGTTTTTCATTTGAATAAAGTTTGGCAGTGCCGAGAAAGATTCCTGTAATCGAATCAAACAGTTGGCAAAGAGGAACTCCTTGGGAACTTCATGTTTTTAGGACAAAAGGTATTGCTTTATTGTTCAGTTTTAGTTTCTTACCATATTGCATAATGTTGCAGAAACTTTTGAAAGTAAAACTTTTATTTTTCATATTTTTCTGACGTAATTGTTAAGGAATAAATTTTAGGGGCATGAAATATGATAATTCGTCAATTAATGAAGCAAAGTAAGTTTATTTTCTTTACTGGAATCGTTTCAAAAATTTAGTTTTTAAATAAAATATGCTCTGTGCATTTTTAATACAATTTAAATACAATTAATTATTTTAAAACACCTGAAAATTGTCATTTAATCATTTAAATTCCATTATTCTTGTTCTAGAAATTATCAAACAGCATAGACATTTTTCATGGTCTTGGCAATCATTAATCAAATCATTTCACATATAATTCGAAATTCCTTTCACAACCATAATACCCTCAGACCATAACAAATTTGATTTGCTACACTTTTTGCCACCTTCCCCACAGCCGAAACAGATAGGAAGATCCATCTAGGGCTATCTTTTTACAATGTAATTGATTCATAATTAATCAACACAATCATTAGACCCCTCCACTCCATACAAAAAAAATGAGCAGTAAATATATTTTAATCATGATGTGATCATCAATCCCACAAAAAAAAGGCAACGCTGTCCTCCGAGGAGAGGGCGCAATCATAACGATGATTTGGCACGCGATAAAGCAAACACCCCGAAGGAGAACCCAAAACCCAAAACCGAAAACCGAAACCCAAAACCGGAACCCCTTCATTGCCACAACCCCTAAAGTTTCCAGTCATAATGAAATATGCATATTCCACGTTGTATATGGAAAAAGAAATCTAGATATATTTTATCCTGCCGCGTGTTCCTTTTGTTTGTCTGCTGCGCCGCGCCTCCCGTTTGGAAGGATGTCAACGAGGACACCCTGGTGAGGCGGCTGCTGCTACTGTTGTTACTGCTGCTGCATTTACTGCCTGTGTTTTCGTACTCTGTGCCACTGCTGTGCGGCAGTTAATTTAATTACCCTTTAAGTAACCATATCGAATGGCCAATTTGGAGTTATGGCCAAGTGGAAGACTTTGGGGCTTACATATCCTTGGCAGCCACAGCCACATCCCACACCAATCCACATCCACATCCACATCCACATCCTGTTTGTGTGCGTGTGCACTTTACAATTGACAATGTGTGCTTGTGGAGAAAACTTTGGGCTCAATTACGAGGCCACTGTCGAAGGGCCGGCCTACCCACACACGTGTCTGTGGGTTTTATTTCACCATCGACATATAAGTGCAACTATTTAGTCCTTAAAACGGGACAGACAGACAGGCAGCCATCTTCTATCAAGGGCTCCACTGCTGGACGCTCCTATCATCTGGTCAAATGTATTAATTTCATTCTATAGTCTTTGTTGGCTTACGTTCTCTTTCTGCTCGCCTTCACTGCTGCTCTGAAGGATAACTATCTCCTGTGCTGGCTGTAGCCTTGTACTTCTCCCACTGTTCCATCGGTAGTTCTCTCCTGCTGTAGCATTATCTGTTTCTCTGCTGCTCTGCTGCCAGCCCTAGCATTCATTACACAGGCAAATATTAGGAAAAACAACCACAAATAAATTAAATAAATGGAATATTTTTTATAAATTAAAAAGAAAATCTAATATCAAAATACTGATAGTCACTTATCGAGGTACTACAAAAAATTAAATTCGAAATTTAATTTTCAGTTAAATTAGAAATAAAATTTGCAGTTAAATTAGAAATTAAATTTGCAGTTAAATTTGAAATTTAATTTGCAGTTAAATTAATAATAAAATTCAAATTAAATTAAAAATTAAAAAATATTATTTTAAATTCTTTTGCCAATCAGTTGGTAAGAAATTAAGTTTTTTGTGACTCCCTTCGCTTAGCAGCAAAGGATGAGATTTCTGCAGTTTCCTCCGCACTTTGGGTAACATCTAAAGCCGATCTTAAGCCAACCAGAATCACATTCAATAATGCCCATTGTATACCTTCCAATGTTCTTTCAGTGTATTCCTATTCCCTATTTAGGTCTCCCATCCTTTTTGCTCATTCCCTTGTCCCTTTGTTGTTTGTTTTTCTCCTTTTATTTTTTCTGTGCAGCATTTAATATCCGATTTCAGTTTTTCCCCCGCCACTTTTCCTCCTACTGTTTGCTCCTTTTCCCTGCTTTCTGTTGATTCTTTTCCACAAAGGACTGAGCGGCATTGAGGGAATACGGCTACGGCTATGGATGGACTCTGTCTCTTGTGTTTGAGGCTTTTGTTGTTTGGTTGGAGAAAAGTTTCCTATTTGCTTAGTGCGACGCTCCTTTTGTTTAACCCCCCCACCCCCACCCCTCAGCCAACGCCGTTCAACGTTCA